AGCTCTGTTGCCCTTCTCTGGACCCACTCCACATGGCCATCAGCATGGCCACAGGTGAACTCATCAGACCTACAACAGCAATGGGAGGTAGGACACCCACTGATGGCAAAGAGACTTCTGGGCTACAAGGAATATGCTCTGTCCTGCTTGCTGGGAACATCTAAAAATGTCTCAGTCTCTCAAAACTCCATTCGTTTAGACCCTTCTCTTCTACATGGAGCATAAAACATTACTCATAACTAAAAAAGCCTAATAGCACCTCCACAGAGCACTTAAATATTATTATGCCTACGTTACAGATGGTAAATGGAGCTGCAGAAAGCAATATTCAGCTGTGTTAGTATAATAGTAAGTTTTTACTGAAATTAAGTGATATAGCTGATAGGAAACAAAACATAGTACCGTATTTCTGCTGAGCACTGCTTCTCTATTAAACTATTTTTTCTGGCAAAAGCTGAATAACAAGGAAGTGAAGAAAGCTGAAATAATATTAAATCTCATAAATATTTGCAACTCTTCTGCGTACACAAAAAGGAAAATATTACATTAATTTATACCTAATAAAGCAAATCTCTCATTATTATTTCTGTTTGAAACAGCTACTATTTGAAGGGCTTTGGTAAGCAAATTGTCATTTCTTAGGAGGCATTTTTGGACTTTTGACATGAAAATCATGAAGGTCTTTGCTTATAATCATCACTGATTATTTTATTAAAGAATGCTAAACTGTGTTGCCTTGAAAACATAGAGGGAGGAAAAAACTTTGTTTTATCAGAGAGATGCAATGATGAAAGCTGTATTTCTTGTTCCCACTTAGCTGGCAATAAAAATCCAAAGGTACAATATAGGTAGTTCCTGTATGATTGCAGATGAATTTTCAAAGAGTGATAGAATAAGAAGTTGAACTATGTCCTAGTGAAAGGCATGTATTAGTGATATCTGTCAAATTCATTCCTCTTTTGCACCTTCTATGTACATATTCTTCAGCACAAAGAAATGTTTATGGACTGAGGAACAGAGAAGTGAAATTGGATTTGACAGGATTTTTCAGATGCAGTTTTTAATTTCTGGACAAAGAAAAGAAAACACTAATCCTAATCCACAAACAGAATAAATCTCTGACAGCTCTAACTTAACTTGCTGTAAGTAGGTATAGGGTGCCTTTTCTCTGGATAGCTAAATGAAGGAATTTCCACTGTCGGATTCTGAACACATAAAAAGAAGTAAACTCCTTTTGGCCTGATACTAAATAAATGATAAATCCCTTTATGTTTAAATAAAATGCAGATACTGCCATATGAATAATTCCATAATACTCTAAGAAAAATAATTTTTTTTCTGTCCTAACAGACTAAATCATTCCTAAAGGTACAATTTTAAGGATATAGAGCTTTAACTCTGATACAAACACCCCCCACACACATAAGTACATATATACCTGGGAAATGCATACACATCTTTAGAAAGCTGTTGAAGATGCAGAAGGAAAATCCTAAAGGACCTGATCACCCAAGTAAAAGCAAGAGTAGTGATGAAGAGCAGCTCTGCATTGATCTACTGTCCTTTAGGTAATCCTTCTTGAGCTAATTCCTAATTTAATGAATACCAGTACCCACACCATTCTGAATAAAGTGTGAAAGAAGACTTTCCTTGATCTATATGCAAAGAAATCCTGCATCATATACCTTGTGCACTATATGAATAATTTTTCACACCCTCCTAAACCATCCTACTTCTTTCCGTCTGCCTGGAACATACCACTGCCCAGCACAACCCACCCTCTCATATGCAATAAACTGTTAAAGAACTGAACAATGTAACAGGGAAAACTAGTTCACTACTACACAGTCCAACCATTAATTACTAAGCCAAATTAATGAAATTTCCACAGGTAGAAAAGTATTTAATATGTGGCTTCACTCTAATCTTCAGAAATTACCCTGTTGTTCTGACTTACCAAACTTGTCTCATTTGAGACTTCCAAGACACTGGCAACATTTAAAGCTTCAGAAAAAAACTATAGTATACCACAGAAACAGAAATAGTATTTAAACTTCAAAATAATGGAACTATTATTTTCTGAAATAGAACGTCAAGCTGCCACCAATATGACTTTGTACAGTTTTACATCTTTTAAATATGAAGTAGGAAAATAAGCATAAAGTGAATAAAGATACCAAAATCACTGTATGAAGAGTCCAACACTGATATGGCACATCTCAAGGAAACTACTTCTGTCTTTTGATTTTTGAATTAAATTCTACCAAACACAAATCTGACAAAACCAACCAAAAACTTCCATAAATTACGGATTCTGTTGGATGAGTTCTTCAAAGATATGGATGTTATGGCCAAAAACCAGTGAGAAAACAGGTTTTTATATAACCACCCAAAAACATTGCATTTAGTTAAGGCATATAGAACATTAAAGGAATTTTTACTGTGTTCCTTCAAAAAATAAAAGAATTTTAAAATAGCTGTAAAATAATTAAAAAGAATGCAACATCAAATCTAATAGATATTTTCAGCTTTATCCTTTTTGTCAGTCCTTTTACATTTACTTTTAAAATATAAGGTTTTACCAAGACACCTGAAACAATAGTCAGTTGACAGGCTACTTTAATATAAAATTGTATAGCCTTCAGCTATTTCATTATGGAGACATATTCATATTCTGTTCTGAATACCCATGGAATTGAAGCTACATACACATGTACAATGCCATCAGCTAAAAAAATGTAATGAAACTAAAAATTATGTCAATTTACATCACAAATACTGTAAAACAGATTAAAAAAATTAAGTTATGTTACAAAATAGTGCAAAACCCATTTCCCCAAATCACAGGAGATCCACTTGTGGGCACAGCAGAGTGCCTTAACCTTTTTCAGCTGACTACACTGTACATGGTATTGTTAATTGCTACAGACTAATGGAATGTTAAAATAATCCAGTGCTTTGTTTAGGGCTAGTAATGCATGAAATGAAAGCTATGAAATTAAAATGCTTGTTTCACAGGTAGCTGAAGTTAAATCAGTGGCTTGACAACATTAAATTAGAAAACTGGACTATAGCCATAATGACTTATAAGTGGAAATACACCAGTTTCATACTTATCCTTGTATAGAAATTAATCTTACCCCAAACCACATATATAACACATTGCAGAGGTTTTCTTAATGGATAGAAAAATAGACCTACCAATATTTAGTAAGTTGCTGTCTAAATAAAACTTGTACTTTGCTTCCTTCAGTGATCCAAGAAACATCTGCAGTATATTCTAAAGTACACCAGTTGGTTATGATAAACTGTCCATTCTGCTGGACTGCAGGTCTAAAAGGCAAAATCTTACCTGTATCGTTGCCTGTGATTTGAATAACATACAATTTTATGTCATTTCCACTATCAGAGTGTGAAGTAGAAGGAGACACCTCTTGAGGTTGTAAAGCCTCTGTGGCCTCCTTCACTTTGGGTGGTGCAGTAGCTCGTGCAACTGCAATAGCAGTTGATGCTGTGAAATATTCCTTATCAATTTCTGGTTCTAACATCTTTTCACTCAGATCGTCATCAGCAGTGGCTTTACTGGGAGAAATAGATTCACCAATTATGATGATGTCGTTGCTTGTTACCTCCTCTTCTTCCTCAGGAATGATACGTGGTGACTTTTGAGTAACAAAAAGTTCGGATGCTGATGTAGGCTGCATTTTGTCTACAGCACTAACAGAAGGTGTTGTTACATCACTGAGAATTGCTGACTTATCTGTTGCATTAGCTGAAAATATAGCTGTTTTGATTTGTTGTTCTTCTGATATTCCTGAACCTTCCAGAGTGTGGCTTGGAGAAGATCCCAAAGTTAGATGAGTAATTCTTTCCACAGTAGAATGATCTGTTGGCATCGTATAGGGAGGCAACACAGATTCCCAGCTCACTACATCGCTGTCTTCTTCTCTGGCAGGGGTTCCTCTGCTTTCGTATGTTTCTGCTTGGGTACCCACTGTTATAGGCATCACTTGAGTTACCTTCTCTTCTTGATCAGTTGCATTTTCAGCTTTCGGAGTCACTGTGAGATGCAAGGTCCTGGTGCTACTTTCATCAGCTCCCAGAACTCTTCCATAATCTGTGACCTTCACTGCTGGCACTGATAATTCTGTCACTAGATATATCTCATCATAAGCTGAACCTGCCTCATCCTGTTTTTCCTGAACAGCTGTTTGAGATGATTCCGATCCTGGTGCCGTCTTTTGTTCAAGTATGTGGACAGATGTCACAGATAAAGTAGTATCTCTAGCAGTATCTGCTTCCTTATCTTGGTCTTCCATTGAGGGTTCCTCTGGGAACACATCACTGTCTTTTTCAGTTGTTTCTGGTGCTTCTGCATGAAAGATACCATCAAAATGAGTCTGAGCAGTAACTGCCGTATCTCTAGTGATCTCAATCTCTACAGTAGTTGGAACTAGGGAAGCATCATGTTCTTTCTGTAGAACTGTAGTATCTACCTCTGTTACATCTGTAAATACAATAGATTCCTTTGTGTCTCCAATGCCAGCTGGTGGTGCTCCTTTTCCGTCTTGAAGTGTTGCCACTGATTCCTCAGTTGATGTTGCAGTGGTTGTCTGGCCTTCTTCTGTCACTGTGTATTTTGAGACCTCCATTTCAGTAAAGACTTCTTCAGATGTTGCCACCAACATTTCAGTAGCCTCTCTTTGTCCAGCTTCTGGAGTAGGAATGGACATTTCCAAAACATACCCTGATGTTTCATCTCCCTCATGTTCAGTTACCTCCATGACTGTGGGCACAGCAGTTGGTAATACAGTAACACTTGAGGAGCTAAAAGACTTCATTGTTGCACTGCTTTCATCCACTGGTAGTTTGGATAATGTGATCATTTTCAAATCTGAAAAGCTGCTTGTGTAGGAGACACCAATAGTATACTTAGTCTGATCAAAATTGGCTGATACAGCTTCTTCATCACTTTTTGCTTCTGCTGTCTCCATGCTTGTCTCAGTTTCACCTGTAACTGCTGAAATCAGAGATCCTGGATGTTCTGTAATTTGCCCTGGAGATGATGTACTCTCCATTCCTGAGATGCCATCTTCTGTATCTAGCTCATATATACTCTCAGTATGAGAAGATTCTTCTGTCATATACCCCTGATCTTTATCTGTCAGCAGCCACCTGCCAGAAGCTGGAGCAACCTGTGTGAAATTTTCACTTGCAGCATGTCTTTCAGATTCTGCTGCAAAAGAATTAGGAATGATGGTTGCAGTATGAGTGATCTTAACATCTATTGTTCTTATTTCTGGCTCCTGTGTTTTATCCTGCTCCTCCAAAGCAGCTGATCCTTCTGTTCGCTGAGATGAGTGGATAATAGACGTGTTACTTTCTCCAAGAGTTTGCAGAGAAACAGTACTTCCTGAGAGAGTGATGGCCTCAGATCCTGTTTGATTAACAACTGATACAGAAAAGGACACAGGTACTCCAGATGACACTGTAGGCTGCACATCTCTCAGGTCCTCTCTGCTTCCTTGAGCTGATGCTTCATTATCAAACAATGTCACAGAATTAAGTTTAATGAATGGAGTTGACTCATCTACTGTAGAAAATTGTCCAGTGGTTACTGCATTCTCATCTACAAGTGTCTCTGATGCAGCAGGCACATCTGATTCTGGGATGTTACCAGTAGCCATGCCAGAAACTCTATCAGGCATAATGGTGTACATGCTCTCTCTGCCCTCCCTCTCTGCAGTGAGATCGTACTGATCAGTGAACAAAGCTTTAGGGATTACAACAGTTGTAAGTTTCTTGTCAGATTTCGCCTCCATTGACTTTTTTGTGGGTTCTTTTGTTGAGTGGGCACCAAGATACATACTCTCTTTTGTTAGTGAAACTGAAGTCCCTGTCCTGGGAAACTCTCTCCGAGAAGGTGGTAACAAGCTATCTGTAGCTGTCATCATGGGACCCACTTCTATTTGTTCAGTCTGATTATCAGCATCATGTTTTTGTTTGTCTCCTGTTTCAGTATCTTCCCACAAACCAGTGGAAGCCTTAGCTACAGCTGTGCTATCCTGAAAAATTACAGAGGTCAAGAAAGCGTCCTCAATGCTTTCAGACCTACCTTGTTCCTCGGGCAGTTCTGCTTCAGAGTAAGTGGGCTCCAGTTCCAAAGCTGCAGATGTGCTCTCTGCAGGTGAAACATCATATTCAGTCCTTCCCAGTGTATCGTAAGTGCTTATTTCGCCATCTGTGACAGTCTGAGGTAGAAGGGTGGTTAACTGAATGTTCTCCATGAGCACCTCCATTTCCCTTTCTTCCTCAGCCATGTCAGTAGTCCTTTCTGTATCTTCTTCAGGCTCTAGGGTTGTTTCTGCCAAAGCAGGAACCTCTGTTTTGGCAACAGTCACTTCAACAATCAAAGTCTCAGTAACAGGTTTAAGAGTGACTTTGGCAGGTGTTAATTTCACGCTGTCAGTTTTCAGAGATGTCATAAGCTTGACAGTTGTAGGCTCTGTTATGACTTTTTTACCTTAAAAAAGAAAAAAGAAAATATTAAGGAATCAATTAGTCAGAACACAAACTAATGTTACTTTAGTTCAGTCTGAATGTTCTCAACAAAATCAAGATGCTACACCAAGAAATTAGTATGACATAATATGACATAAAATAACGTGTTATAAAGCTACAGAACATCTAACAAAGTCAGATGACATGAGAAGAGTAGCAGTATTCTTCATATTCGTAGTACATGTAATTGTCCCTAGAAATCCTCACATTATACAAGTACCCATCAGACAGCTAAGTACCAATCAGTGAATGTAAAAGTTTATTTCATGATGTCATGAATGGCTGGTAAGGCAAACCTGTGGTTTTTCTTCAAAGCTTGCTGTAACATTCCATTCAAATATTTAAAGGGAGTGAAATACCACTGTAGTTTATTTTCAGCATGTAATTGCAAATTGTAAAAAGGAGCCCTCACAGGAGTGAGAGCATGCTGAAGCAACAGGAACAAACATGCCATCAGAAAACACAGTTTTACCATGCCACAAGACCTGCTGCCCTGCATTTAAATTATACTAAGAGAAATTTATTATGGGGAAAGGTGAGAACAGCAAACCCTAAGATTGTAAACTTAATACTATAATGATGTTGATCTTTGGGAAACACTTCAAAGGTATACATCTGAAACTTCTCCCCACACAGAAGTGCTTCTATGGGAGTGTTGAACATGAAAAGGCAGAATAATGTATGATGGGAAGAATAAGGGAGTAGCTATCTTAGATTCACAAGAGACACAAAGAAAGGCCTTTCAAGTGAACCAAATCGTGATGTTTTAAAGAATCCTGCTGTCTTATGCTTTCTTCACTCCTTCTGCCCCAGATTTTCATCCTATCTGAGAAGGAAATGTGTCCTGATAACCATGACACTGCAGTCTGATATTGGATTTTAAGATGAAAAGGTGAATTTGTGCTCAGAAAACAAGATTTGCTCAAGAAAAGCCCAGGGTGGAAACGTCTTCCCTTCTGCCAGTTCTACCAGGTCAGTTATCTTCAGATAGGCAATGTAAGCAGACAGGTGGATGGTGCAAATGTCTTAAATCAGTGCTGTTATTGCCAAGTGACTGAAAGTCAAAAGTTTTATATGCATACAAGAGGAAAAGATGGTCCTTTGAATCACACAAAGCATATGAAGAATGCACTAAACAGACTACATATATGAGGACTAACTGCTTACCAGACAGACAAAACTACATGTATAGCTTCTTGCAAAAGAAAATATTGCTCAGCTTCTAACAGGGTAAAGAAGTCTATTCCTCTAACATGCAGAAATCAAAACAGTTATATTATTTTACGAGAAAATATTGAAACCAAAGCCTCATAATTATAGTTGTGAATTACTGAAAGAGATCCGAAACCTTTACTTGATGTAAGATATGAATACCAGTTATCAGGGAAAAAAGTCAGTTCTGAGATTGGGTTTTGCCTGGCATATGGGAGGAACATCTTCTAGATGATGTTGCAGCCTCTGTCTGAATCATGACTTGCAGGAGCTAACAGTATGAGCAAAGAAGAAGAAGAAAAGAAGTGAAAAATTTAGAAAGATTCATATTAGTCATATATTTGTGCAATGACCGTTTATACACAAGCGTACACAATATGCATGCACAAATAGGTCTTTTTCACACCCCCATGCCTAATTAGGTACCCTTTTGATATTTGTAGATATGAATTCCACATATGTCAGTTAGGGTCACACAAATATTTGTTTAGTTTCACACACCAAGTTTTGAAAATGTCACCTTTGCAAGAGAACTGTTTGATCTACCCTGAGGCAGGCAGTCTTGCTAGACGATGGCTGCTTAGGATTTCTAGAAGAACGGGTAGACTGGCAGAGTAGGGAAAAGAGGAAAAGGGCTGATATGTCAGCTTTCTTGAATGAGAAGTGAAAGTGAAAAGGAGATTTCGAGGGTACGAAAATATGACATTGCTATGTTTAGAAGTGGTGGTATTCTTTGCCAGCAGAAAAAGGAACGGGTTATTTTCCCTACTGTACATTAAATCTTTCTGTGGTTTTACAAAGAAGACATAGCTACTTATATACATTTTTTTAGTAGGCCAAAACATTCAGCTAAGGAAGGAGTACAGTGCCTGGAATACTACTAAGCAAAACACAGCCTTAACAAAAATGATTTTTGTGTTTTGGGGTCCTACAACCTGGAGTTTATTGTGCTTTTCCATATCTAAGTGATTCAGGTGTGAGATGCTGTTCATGCAATCAAGAATCAACAGATCCTTACAGTTATTCTCCCCCTCTGCTTACAGGAGGATGGTTTGAAAAAAAACAGAGTTTTACTTCAGAACTAGGGAGTGAAGAGTACACACAAGTGAGTTAGCACTGATCTGAGTGGTAGCTGGTAGTTGTTAAATTTGTACCAAAGAATCCACCAATTTGCCTTAGCAGCTCTTTTTTTTATGGCAAGATAGAAAGGAGACAGAATAGTGTGATGTTCTCCTTTCTAACTGTAGGATGAGTTTTCTTAATGCAGATTGAGTTTGTTTCACGGCCAACACCAGGTACTTGTTCAGAATCCCAAATACCATATTTTAAGTAGCTATCAAGATCACTGGCTGAAAGAATACAAAAAAGTAATATCTTCTAACAAAGCTAGATAAAAATGAAGGCATGAGTATGGATTTTAAAATCAGAGGCAGGGGTGGGGGGAAAAGGGAGAGTTAACTTTGCTTCATCACTGCTGGAAAATTGTGTGCACTTACTCATAACCATTTATGTAACTTTCCAGTTTCCAAGAGATGTTTGAAAGTAAAAAAGTTCACATATTTATGCCTGAAATGTGGTTATTTATTGTTTATCTGCTAATTACTTAATAAGATAGGTACCTATTTATGAAGTAAACCTGAAAAAAACACCACGCGTATTTGATTCACTTATATTAATAAGTGAATCAATAAATATTAAATTCATATGCTAGGGTAAGTTAAGCATATATTTTTTCAGAATTTATTAATAAATTTTCTCCTGTGAAAACTGACATAAGGTTACTAGTGTGCAAAGAGCAGTTCTGGTTAAAATCAAAATACAGTGCTACTAAACCTGCTTTGTCATAAATATGATGTGTAAGATTTTTCATACAGATCACTCAGGTTTGCAAACTTATTTGAGTGGATCAAAAAGAAGTTGCGTCCTCAAGGAGAAATCTATCAATGCTATTTTTTTTTTCCTGTGGAAAATTAAAAACACAAAGCTAAATCAAAAGAAGATTACTCTTTTAATAGACTGAACATCAGTTTTAACTGTCATTCACTCCACCCAGATGTTTTGTATTACTGTACTCCTTGCATCATCTGTGCAATATGCTATCTCCTTTGTCCTTTCTCTGAATGCAAGACATGAGGCAGATTTTCCTAATAAAATTCATGAACAGATTAGCAGTGAGAAAGCAAATTATCTCACCAACAGCTGCTCATATCAAAGACTATATTGTCATCTTTTAATCAATTCCTTTTGTATTGAACAACCTGCATGTAGTTTATTTTGGATGGAGTATATGACTTTACACTGTATTTTTTCACTCTCTGTTGGTTTATTTTATGCTTTCACTATGCAGCATTTTCTTTCCCTTCTCTCCTACCATTGTTTAAATAAGGATTCAAAATAAAGGAACAATATTAAAACTTGACAGATTTTCAAGGAAAAAAACTTGTCACTTTAAACAGTTAAACTTTGTGATTTACAAAGAAGGATTTTAATATGTTCTGTGCTGTTTAATAATAATTTCAGAACACCTAGTTGTACTTACTGGAGGAGAAAATGCTTGTTTTAAAGATTATATATGTATTTTATATGCAAAAATTTTCATATATGCACTTTCAGTATAACCAGTTCCACAATATTTTTAACCATGTGTCTAACTTGAACCACTTGAGCAGTTTCTCTGCACTCAGAAATATTGACTGTGTGTTTACATTTAGGTATGTATTTAAAAACGTGGAAATACATAGACTGTACAGATAGAAAAATAAATTGGGTTTGAGTCATTGCCAACAAGCAAAACAACAAAAAATTATTTAAGTCAGAACAAAACCTGGAAATAATATATATTCTTTCTGTGAATAATAGCCAAATTAAATTATTCCAATATATCAGTAATGTGGAGAGAGTCAAAATTAATGGTTTGACTTCTTCCAGCAATTTAGAGCATGAGGTTGCTTTGCTTAATTTTTACATGTTTTTGTGTGTTAATTTCTGTGCTGCTTTGTTGAGTTTGTTCTGTGTGTCTGTCCCTTCCCTGCTACCAACCCTAGCAAAGGGGACAGTCCTGAATGTTCCCCTGACCCCAAAAGTTATGCTAGCTGGAGTTTAAATTGTTGTCAGAACCTTCCAAACTGTACAAGTCTAAGAATAAAAAAAACAGTTTAAAAAAACCCCAATTTGGTACTCTGGCCTACAGGCTAAGCCAGAAACCTCTCATTATGGCACTGACTCAGCACCTACTCTCAGTCATTTCAGAAAGCAGAAAGACGGGCAGGGGTTGTGGAGTGTCATTCTTTATTTATGAGACGTGTGGCAGCATAAGGAGGATGCAAACTCTGATACTGCAGCTGTGAGAGTTTTTCTATAACTCCGGGTGTATACTCCCACTTACCTACAATGCATTTTGACATCAAAAAGCAAGACAAATGTAACAATAAAAATAATTTTAAAAACCTAATTGTGGTATCCATTCCCACTTACAAAACACATGCAATATTAAAAAAAAAATGAATGGGATTCCTAAAAAAAGGAAAAAAAAAAAAAGAAAAAAAGAAATTTAAAAGCTATTAGTCAATCTTATTTGTAAGGAAAAACTTAAAACATGATGAAAGGTCATGCATCCTTTTCACACCCTTGCCCAAGGTCCTTTTCTTCCAGCTAACAAAACAGCAGAGACAGCAGCTCTTTTAGCTCTGTGAACACACTTTTAAGCAAAACCACTTGCTATTTCATAACTTCTGAAGTCAGATGGTTAAG